ATTTGTGCACAGACTAATGAAGATGGCAGGACAGGTGGAGAAAACAGTTAATAAAACATACAGTATCCTCAGATTTATTACTAGGACAACAGAGCAAGGAGGTGATGGGTACCACATTATAGAAGGGATATAAACAGTTTGGAGGCAGTGCAGAAGCATATTACAAGAATGGTTCAGGTGAGGAAAAACTTCTATTACGAGGATAGACAGAAGAAGTGGGACTATGTTCCGTGGAGCGAAGGCTAAGAGGAAGTCTGGTAGGGGTTCTCAATATCATGAGTGGATTGGATAGAACGGATAGAAAGAAACTGATCCTGCTCATGAAAGGAACAAAAATAGAGATTGTAGATCTGTTTTTGATTTGCAAAAGAATCAAATATGATGTGAGAGAAAACGTTTTTTCACAGTGAGTAGTTAGGGTATGGAATGCACTGGCTTGAAGTGTGGACACAGGTTCCATTGAGATATTAAAAAGGGTATCTGATGATTATTTGGATAAAAGTAATGTGCAGGGTGTAGGGAAAAAGCAGGAGAAAGACATGAGGTAGTGATGCTCATTTGCAGAGCTGCTGCAGACAAACTGGGTTGAATGAAACAAGGATCTGCGGATGCTGGAGATCTGAAACAAAAACAGAAATTGCGGCGAAACTCAGCAGTCTATCAGCACCTGTGGTGAGAAAGCAGAGTTAATGTTTCGAGTCCGATCACTCTTCATCTGATGACTCTGCTTACTTCCCATAATGCATCAAATGGTATTCTGCTTCACAATAGCTCTTCTGTGATTCTATACATAAAGGAGAGTCTGTGAATATAATGTAAAATGAAAGCCCATGGTTTAGGGGACAACATATTAACACAGACAGTGATTGGCTGGCTGGCTGGCAGGAAACCGTGTAAAGTAAATGGGTCTTGGTCTGATTGTTAGGATTTGATGAGTGGAATCCCATAAGGGTCATTAAATCATATATTACAGATAGGCTCTTCCGCCCATCAAGTCTGTGCCACCGAAAATAAACTACTACCTACAATAGTCTCACTTTCCTACATTAATTTTGAATATTATGATACCTCCAGTGCTCATCCAAGTATTTTTTAAATGTTGTGAGGTTTGTCACCTCAACAACCTTCCCAGGCAGTGCACTCTCTGGGAGAAAATGTTGTTCCTCAAATACCCTCTGAACCTCCTACCTTTCACTTTGAGATTATGTCCCCTTCTTACTGACCCTTCAACTAAGGGGAACAGCTGTTTTCTATCCACCTTGTCCATGTTCCTCGTAATTTTATCCAGTCCCCCCTCAGCCTTCTCTGTTCCAAAGAAAACAACCCAAACTTATCCAGTTTCTCTATGTAGCTGGAATGCTTCATCCCAGGCAATATCCTGTTGACTCTCCTCTACACCCCCTCCACTGCAATCCCATCCTTCCTATAGTGTGGTGACTGCATACAGTACTGCAGCTGTGGCCTGATCGAAGTTCTGTATAGTTCCAATCTAACCTCTCTGCTTTTATAATCCATGCCATGAATGATCAAGGCAAGCCTTGTGTGCCTTCTATTCTATTAAACCATCCTGCCACCTTCATGGATCTGTGGACAAGCACTGCAAGATCCCTTTGTTCCTTTAAGCTTCCTGGTGTCTTGCCATTTATTGAGTACTCCCTTGTCTTGTTCCTTTTACCAAAGGGCATCACCTTACATTTATCAGAGTTAAATTCCATCTGCTACTGATCTGCCCACCTGACTAATCCATTTGTAACTTCCTGAACCTGATATCTTCCTCCTCACTGTCAGTCAGGATCTGACCTGAGGCCTTAACCTTTTATAATTTAAATCAATGATTTGGATGAGGAGAGCAAAGGCACGGTGGCTAAATTCAAAGGGGACACCAAGATAGACAGGGAAGTATGCTATGAAGAAGACGTAAGTAAGTTACAGAGAAATATAGGTATGTTGAATACCAGCAAAAATCTGCCAGATGGACTACAATGCAGGAAAGTCTGACGTTGTCCATTTTGATTGGAAGACCAAAAAAGCAGGGTATTACTTAGTTGAAGAACAAGTGTAGAATTCCATGGTGCAGAAGGATTTAGGGATTCTTGTGCACGAGTCATACAAAGTCAGTGTGTAGGTACAGCACGTAAACAAGAAGGTTATTGGGATGTTATCCTTTCTGATAAGAGGGATTGAACTTAAAAGTAAAGATGCTATATTTTAGTAATGCAGTGCAATGGTGAGATCACATCTTGAATACTTTGTGCTGTTTGGTTCGCTTTATTCAGGGAAGGATATAAATGCAGTGGAACACTTTTGAAGAGGTTTATATATGTCGATACCTGCAATGAAGAGGTTGTTCCGTCATGAAAGACTGGACTAGCTCGACTTGTTTGCATTGGGGTTAGAAGATGTTGAGGAAACTAGGCCTATATTCTCTTGAGTTAGAAGAACAAGAGGTAATCTCACTCAAAAATACAAAATTCCTACAGGGTTCAACAGGGCAGATGCAGGAAGGATGTTTCCCCTGGGGGAGATTCTAGAACCAGGGCACAGTCTTACAATAGGTGGCCTTCAGAGCATTGAAATACAGAGGGATTTCGGGTACAAGTCCATACCTCCCTGAAAGTGGCAACACAAGTGAATAAGGTGGTAAAGAAGGCTTGCCTTCAGCAGTTGGGGCATTAAGTATAACGGTTGGCAAGACATGTTGCAGCTGTATAACACTTTAGTTATTCACATTTGGAGTAGTGTTCAGTTCTGGTCACCATACTATAGGATGGATGTGGAGGCTTTATAGGGGGTGCAAAAGAGGTTTACAAGGATGTTGCGTGGATTGGAGTGTATTAGCCAAAAAGAGAGGTTGAACTAACATGGATTGCATTTGCTTAAGTGTCGAAGGCTGTGGAGCTACCTGATAGAAGCATATAAAATTATGAGAGGCGTGGATACAGTGGATAGTTGGAATCTTTTTCCCAGGGTGGAAATTTCAAATACTAGGGTGCAGAGATTTAAGGTAAGAGGGGACACGTTTAAAGGAGGTGTGCAAGGAAGATCTTATCACATGGAGGGTGGTAGGTGCCTGGAAGACACTGCCGAAGCAGAGGTAGCAACGTTTAAGAGGCATCTAGACAGACACATGAATAGGCAAGGAATAGAGGGATACAGACCATGTGCAGGCAGAAAGAATTAGTTTAGAACGGTTGGCAGAGACATGGTGGGCCACTGGGCTGGTACCTGTATTTTACTATTCCATATAATAAGGAGTTAGGGCATTCAGGACTGGAATGAGAAAGAATTTGTTCATTTTAAAAACTGTGTAAAGATATACTGGAGACTCCTGATTATTATCTCTTTGAAAGACAAGGAGAGGCAGGATTGTTAGCTGTCACTCATCCAATTCAGTGCTGTTTTATAAATTTGACTCCATCTGAAAGAACTGTATAGGATGTCCTTTGCAGGTCTTTCTTAAAGGTTCTTGACACTCAGGGTGCATGGTTTAGCAGATTAACTCACAAGGACTGCAATTCACAATCTCAATGATAGGCTAATCAGTGGAACCTGCCAAAGGGTGCTTCCTAACAGCAATATTGCAGTTTCACATCAAAATCCAGAGCCAAGCCATGGGATGAACCTGTGTTAAAGGGAGAGAAGGATCCAGAAATCTGGAAAGGAAGTCAATTTATTTACCAATCTGAGAAAAATCCTTAGCTAAGGACTAGGTCAACAATTTGTGACAAGCAAAGCTGATGTATTCCAGTTGACTAGGGTATCTGAAATCAATAATATTAAAACAAAGGACTGCAGATGCTGCAAATCTAAAACGAAAGCAGAAATTGTGGGAGAAACTCAGCAGGTCCAGCAGCAGCTGTGGAGAGAAGGCAGAGTTAACATTTTGATTTCAGTATCTTTTCTTCTGAATAGCTGAGTTTCTCCAGAGGTTTCTGTTTTCTTGATCTGAAATCAAGAGTGATGGCACATTACATTGAGGCCTCCAACCCACTGAAGAGGGGTTTGTTAAAAAAGTTGATAAAGCACCTCAGATTTGTAAGCTGACAGTGTCCTGTGAGACAGTACCCAAGAAATGGAAGTGTGCATAATACTGGAAACTGTTTTCTCTAACTGGCAGACAGTTGCTGCTGAAGCTGTACCAGGAATGTTGGTAAACCCTATCTCAAGTTAGGCTGCAGTCTGGAAAGAATTGCTGATTCTACTCATGCTTTCACTTGTTAGGTATTATAGAGATACGTGTGTCTGTTTCAGAGAGTGTGGGGCATGGCATGTCTGGAATGTGGTGCATGTGTCTTTCTGTGTGACACACATGCACATGTGTATGTTGGTGCATGCATTTAAGGTGTGTGTGTGTGTGTGTGTGTGTGTGTGTGTGTGTGTGTGAGAGAGAGAGAGAGAGAGAGAGAGAGAGAGAGAGAGAGATGTGAAACCAGTAGGAGATGGAACAAGAACAGTGTTGGAGTTGAACTGTTCTGCATACACAGCAATGGGACTGTAATCGAGGCTAACTTCTCTGGAGTATTTGGTAACCTGATGTGCACCACGGCACTGCTGACTGCCTGCTATGCAGTCTCAATCTCAAGGAATGCTCAGAAAGTAGAGTAATAACTACAGACATGGTGTGTAGCTGCAAATACCTTGCAAGTGAATTGTCCTGAAAAGTCAACCCAAAGGAGCAAGAGTAGCTCCACACAAATGGATTTTCTTATGGCATGTACATCAGAGCTACTGGATTTAAATAAAGTGTGTTCATTGGGAAATATTTCTAGAATGCTTTAAAATCAATTTTCTTTGTTCTAGATATTTTCCTAATTCACCCCTTGAATTGATAATAACCCAAAACTTCTTTGTCTGCCAATTCTATTCTCCCATCTCCACAGATAGTTCGATGAAAAGTAAATGTTCGTCTGATGGAGATCCTGTAACAGTGAAAACATCACTTACAGCTAAAGTGGTGTGAGGTGAATAACTGTCAATGAACAAGAGTAATGATACCTTACCTGGCTGAGGAGCTGCCTTATGCCTTTGGCTTTTCTCTTTCTTAAACTTTGGCACAATTCTGAACATAGCACTTCGACTGTTTCTTTTGGCAAATTCCAATGAATGGTCCTATTGAAAAGGAGGTGATTCTTTTGTTAGTTGAAAGTGTTATAAGGCCTAAACCCATCTCAACGACAGAGACAACTCTATTCAGCAAAACTTTCTTCCAGAAGTTGTTAACTGCTCTCATGTTATCTGGCAGGCCTTACGTGGAGTCAGGAGTCACTGTTCAGCACCAAGCATCGGCGTGTGGTTTGTGGACTTACTGACCGCAGCAGATGGGAGCCAGACATCAGAAGTAGCCTGCACTCCCTTCCACCCAATATGGTCAGAAAAGCTCTGTGCAGGGCACAGTTCCAATATGAGCAGATCATCCAACACACGTTCACATCAAATAATAACAGACACTAATTTATAACATACGGTGTAGATTAATCTTATCAGTGTGCTCTAGAACGTAGAACATTGAACATAGAACATTACAGCGCAGTACAGGCCCTTCAGCCCTAGATGTTGCGCCAACCTGTGAAACCAATCTGAAGCCCATCTAACCTAAACTATTCCATTATCATTCATATGTTTATCCAATGACCATTTAAATGCCCTTAAAGTGGGCGAGTCTACTATTTTTGCAGGCAGGGCATTCCACGCCCTTACTACTCTCTGAGTAAAGAACCTACCTCCGACATCTGTCCTATATCTATCACCCCTCAATTTAAAGCTATGTCCCCTCGTACTAGCCATCACCATCTGAGGAAAAAGGCTCCCACTGTCCACCCTATCTAATCCTCTGATCATCTTGTATGTCTCTATCAAGTCACCTCTTAACCTTCTTCTCTCTAACGGAAACAGTCTCAAGACCCTCAGCCTTTCCTCATAAGACCTTCCTTCCATACCAGGCAACATCCTGGTAAATCTCCTCTGCACCCTTTCCAATGCTTCCACTCCTTCCTATAATGCGGTGACCAGAACTGTACGCAATACTCCACGTGCGGCTGCACCAGAGTTTTGTACAGCTGGAACATGACCTCATGGCTCCGAAACTCAATCCCTCTACCAATAAAACCTAACATACTGTACGCCTTCTTAACAACGCTATCAACCTGGGTGGCAACTTTCAGTGATCTATGCACGTGGACACCGAGATCTCTCTGCTCATCCACACTACCAAGAATCTTACCATTAGCCCAGTACTCTGTATTCATGTTACTCCTTCCAAAGTGAATCACCTCACACTTTTCCGCATTAAACCCCATTTGCCACCTCTCAGCCCAGCTCTGCAGCTTATCTATGTCCCTCTATAACCTGCAACATCCTTCCGCACTATCCACAACTCCACCGACTTTGGTGTCATCCGCAAATTTACTAACCCATCCTTCTACGCCCTCATCCAGGTCATTTATAAAAATGACAAACAGCAGTGGCCCCAAAACAGATCCTTGAGGTACACCACTAGTAACTGAACTCCAGGATGAACATTTCCCATCAACCACCACCCTCTGTCTTCTTACAGCTAGCCAATTTCTGATCCAAACCGCTTAATCACCCTCAATCCCCTGCCTCCGTATTTTCTGCAATAAACTACCATGGGGAACCTTATCAAACGCTTTACTGAAATCCATATACACCACATCAACCGCTTTACCCTCATCCACCTGTTTGGTCACCTTCTCAAAGAACTCCATAAGGTTTGTGAGGCACGACCTACCCTTCACAAAACCGTGTTGACTATCCCTAATCAAGTTATTCCTTTCTAGATGATTATAAATCCTATCTCTTATAATCCTTTCCAACACTCTACCCACAACCGAAGTAAGGCTCACTGGTCTATAATTACCAGGGTTGTCTCTACTCCCCTTCTTGAACAAGGTGACAACATTTGCTAGTCTCCAGTCTTCTGGCACTATTCCTGAAGACAATGACGACATAAAGATCAAAGCCAAAGGCTCTGCAATCTCCTCTCTAGCTTCCCAGAGAATCCTAGGATAAATCCCATCCGGCCCAGGGGACTCATCTATTTTCACACCTTCCAGAATTGCTAACACCTCCTCCTTATGAACCTCAATCCCGTCTAGTCTAATAGACTGTATCTCAGTATTCTCCTCGACTACATTGTCTTTTTCCTGTGTGAATACTGATGAAAAATATTCATTTAGCACCTCTCCTATCTCTTCGGACTCCACGCACAACTTCCCACTACTGTCCTTGACCGGCCCCAATCTTACTCTAGTCTAGACTGCACAATTACACTGCCACATGGATGTAACAGCTAATTTTCTCTGCGTTGTGTCTTAATGTGAAAGAGGATATGCAAATCCAATCTCCCATTCTGTTGCAATGCCCAGGATATATATAAAAATATAAAATTCTAACAGAACTAGAAAAGTGAGATGCAGCAAGGATGTTTCTGATAGTGGGGGAATGCAAAATAAGGGGTCATAGCTTAAGGATAGGGAGTAAACCTTTCAGGACTGACTTGAGGAGAAGTTTCTTCACCCAGATAGACTTAGAGTCATACAGCACGGAAACAGGTCCATGCTGAAGATAATCCCAAACTAAACTACTCCCACCTGCCTGCTCCTGACCCATATTCCTCCAAACCTTTCCTATTCTTGTACTTATCCAAATGTCTTCTAAATGCTATAATTGTACCCACATCCACCATTTCGTCAGGAAGTTCATTCCACACGCGAACCACCCTCTGTATTAAAAAAAAAATCTGCCCTTCATTTCTTTTTTAAATCTCTCTCCTCTCACCTTAAAAATATGCCCCCTTGTCTTGAAATCCCTCATCCTAGAGAAAAGACAACTACCATTAACTCTATCTATACCTCTCATTATTTTATAAACTTCTATCTTTTCTATCTTTAGCTTCTCTTATCTTCCTCTTAGTGCTTTTTTCTTTCTTCTCTCACGGGCCTCTGACGACATCCAGCCTCGGGCGAGCAACAATTCCCAGCCCTGTGGTGACGACTCTTGGCCCTCCTGGTATCTGGTGATGACTCCTAGCCTGGTGTGACAACCTCCCACCGTGGCGTGGCATGGCATGGTGACCTACCGGTCTCCTGCAGCATCCTCCTCGGCCCAGTGTGACAGTCTAAAGTGATCTCCCAGCCTCATGATACTCAAGGTGAAGCCCAGCACAGTCTGGAGCCAGGGACCGATGTGGACTGGAAGTTTCGTGCCAGTGCGGTCTGTTATACTGAATTTTTACTTCTGCAATGCTAGACATTTTATTTCTCTATTGTCTAAGACCTTGTAACTAAAGAAGCTGTGCCTAGATACAGTGACGACTTAGATACAAAGGTAAGTATAAATCTTTCACTATATTAAGTGAATATATATGACAATAAAGGCTAATTCTACTCAATTCAATTCAGTTCATCAAGTCACCTCTGAACCTCCTACGCTCCAGTGAAAAAAGTCTCAGCTTATCCAGTCTTCAGATAGCGGTGAGCCTGTGGAGTTCACTACCACAGGAAGTGGTTGAGGCCAAAACATTAAGTGTTTTAAAGAAGGAGGTAGGTATAGCTGTTGAAGACTTGAATTTAGAGACCCTCTCATGGACTCAGGACACCCCAAAATCAACAGAATGCTTTTCAGCATTCTCACAACATAGACATCATGACTTGTGCACCTAAAACTCCCACAAGTCCCAATCACAAGATAATCTGAACTTTTTAGCAATATTACAGGAGGGATAAATATTAGTACACAGTACCGGAGAAAATGCTCTTTTCTCTTCTTCCACTAGTGCCATGGAGTTCTCTAAACCTTCCTGGGGTCTCACTTCATTCAAGAACTGGTACCTCTGATAGTGCAGCACTCCCTCAGGGCCAGTGGGAATGTGATTCAGGCCATACTGACATTGCCCCCTCTCATTGCTGTAGATGTATAGCGGTGTGAAACAATCAAAGGAGCTGTGAAATTACATATATGACCTACCATTCCAAAGCATGATTAAATGTATTTTTTTCAGTACTGCGCTGGAGTGCTAGCCTGGATTCTGTGGTCAAGACTCTGGAGGGCAACCTGAACCTATAATCTCCTGATTCAGAGGCTGTGACATTAGCCAATCATTTTGAAGGGCCTCACTTGTTCTTTCTAATAGTCTCTTTGTAATTATATAGAGCTTTGGTGAGACTGAGCCCAGAGTAGATTGTTGGTTTACTGTAAGGATGTTACTAAACTGGAAAGGTTGCAAAAAAGATTTACAAGGATGTTACTGAGACGGGAAGGTTTAAATTATAAGGAGAGGCTTGATAGGCTAGGAGTCTTTTCTCTGGAGTGTAGAAGGAGTGACCTTATAGAGGTTTATGAAAAGGTGATTGGCCAAGGTCTTTTCCAAGGGTAGGGGAGTCCAAAACTAGAGGGCATTGATTTAAGGTAAGAGGGGACAGATTTAAAAGGGGCCAGAACAGCAACATTTTCACACAGAGGGTGGTGTGTGTATGGAACGAGCTGCCAGAGGAAGTGATAGAGGCAGATACAATTATAACATTTAAAAGACATTTGGACAGGTACGTGGATAGGAAAGGTTTCAGAGGGATATGGGCCAAGCACAGAGAAATGGGACCAGTTCAGTTTAGGAAACCTAGTTGGCATGGACCAGGTGGGCCAAAGGGCCTGTTTCTGTGCTGAATGACTTTATGACTCCTTTCCCAAGAAAAGATATACTTGCCAGGAGAGGCTGTAACAAAGATTCATTCCAAGGATTAGAGAACTGTGCTAAAAGGAAAGATGGAGTAAAAGGGGCCTAAATTCTCTAAGTTGATTTCATAGAAATGTATGACATTCTGAGAGGGCACAACAGAGAAAATGCTGAGGGGACTACCTTCTAACAAATCTAGAACTGGGTGTCAAAATCCCAGGATAACAGGTGAGCTGGATTCATTTCAGATGTTTGTAAATCTTTGCACTTAGAACTGTCGATACCCGGTGCAGGAGCATACTTAAGGCTGGGGTCAATAGACTTTCTGTGTGTAACAAATGAAGTGATAAAGGCCATTGACTGAAACATTAATTGTGTTTCCTCTTCTACAGGTTTTGCCAAGATATGCCCAGTACTTACAACATTTTCTGGTTTTTATTCCAGATTTCCAGCAGTCACACTACTATGCTTTTGTAAGTGAATCAAAGAATGTGGGGATGCGGAGGGGTACTTGCAGTTGATTTGGAAGGTCAGCCATCAACTTACCAAATGATGGTGCAGAATGTGGAGATCACATTGGCTAGCTTCCCTTCTCTGATTTCTTTATGATGTTCCTGTTTGACTTGGACATACCCTAAGCTTCAGATGAGATCCATTGATAGGGATTGCATTGTCCGGCAGCCATGTCACCTCCATCCATAACATCAAGTGGGCCCTGTCCCAGGATCTTTCCTTGTCTTGTCATGCCCCACAGGGCCTTGAGAACATTACATCTGAGAATGAGGAGCCCTGGCTTTTAAACCAATACAGATTAGAATCTCATTGCTCCATACCTCTTCAGCTGTTGGCTGCAGCACATGATAAAGCCATGGAATCTCTGCAAGCTTTCCCAACTCAACATCTACAAGGTGTAATGCTGTTGACAGCTGCTCCTCCTGAGGTGAGTCCAGTTGCTGCCAGGAATTCAAAAGAGAAAAGCAGTTAGCCACTACATTTATAATGGTTATTCTAGCCTTCACTGTCAGTTTAATTATATAGATGTACATCTTCACATCTCATGGCGAGCAGATATCACACAGTGGGACTGTGAGAGACAGAGTGGGGAAAAGACTGAAGACCCTCTCTTCGTAGGTTTGAAACATAAAAGGTTAAAACGGCTCTGCTGGTGTTTGGTTTTCCAAACTTTAGCAAACTCACCCAACTTGGTTCCTTCCCCAATCTCTGTATCTCTCTCTGCATCCCCCTTCACCTAACTGGGACAGCAAATGGGCCAATGTGCTTTGCAAGGCTTTACCATCCATTAAATTGCCTTGTTTTTGTTCACCTTCCAAGGGATTGCTCTTTGAAGTGGTCATGACTCTCATTACCAGGCACAAATATTCTGATGCCTGCTCCAACCCAATTGCCTCCACTTCTTTGCACAGGCTGGACAAGCTCACAAGACGTTTGTACGTTGATAAGGAGTCTTGCGCTCAGGTCAGTAGAAATTGTAGACTACTAACAATATATGCTGAAGGAAAGGCCCTTTGGAATGGAAGGAAGACCTGCTTCTAGACACCCCGTTCCATGATGTAGAATAACATTTGCTTGCTGGTCTTCCTTTGCCTTCAATGGGTGAATATTGCAGCTCACTGATAGCCAAATGCAAAGTAAGGGCAGTATACAGCCTATGTTTCTGCTGGCACCAGTCTATCCCGGACCCTCCATCCCATGTGGCCCTTTCACAGCCAATACTTCATGAGTTACACACCTGGAGGTGCAACTCCAGTATCTGGATCAACTCGCGTTACATAATCTTGCAAGCCATGCAACTTTGCATGGAGTGTTGTGCCTAATGAGCTTTCGGTTTTGACAATCTCTTCACTGTCTAGCTCCTTTACATTTCCTGCATTTTCTATTCACAGGATGTTTGAGCACAGTTGCCCCAATTATCTATTTTTAGCTCTATTAGCTTTCGATATGGGACTACAAAGTAAACCGTGCAGAAGAGGAAAGAGAAATTCAGAACTATTACTGGAACTGAAGATCTAAAACAGGCCTTTCCACATTCCAAAACCACAATAATTTATTTACGCTTGGAATTATTCTCTTCAGCACTAAATGCAGAATTAGACTGGTTCAGATGGTTATTAAATATTTCCTCATTGAACATGATCTAGTGGATCTGGATAAGTTTCAGTTTGCAAGATCTTATTTACTACAATAGGCAGCCTTAACAAACTGGGCTCCCGAAAAATGTGCACTTAAGGAAATTTGACTCAAGTATCTAAATATTGACAGTCTTTGTAGTTGCATGGAGCAGAAATGTGTTGGTGATCATGGTTCACATGACTGAAATATAGGACAGGTTTAATGGACCAGTTGACTTTTACTGGGCTGGTGGGTGGCACAGTGGCTCAGTGGTTAGCACTGCTGCCTCATAGTACCAGGGACACGAGCTCGAGTCCACCTTCAGGTGACTGCCTGTGTGGAGTTTGCACATTCTGCCCGTGTCTGCATGGGTTTCCGCCAGGTGCTCCAGTTTCCCCCCCAGCAGTCCAAAGATTTGCAGGTTAGGTGGATTGGCCATGGTAAATTGTCCATAGTATCTAGAGATTTGATAGCTGGATGGGTTAGCCATGGGAAATGCAGGGTTACAGGGACAGTGTATGGGGTTGGGTCTGAGTGGGGTGCTCTTCAGAGGGCTGGTGAAAATGGCCTCTTTCCGTACTGTAGGGATTCTATGATACCCAGTGTGTTTTTTCACATGATTTTATGTCAGTGGTCTGCTGCTTTCCAGAGTGAAATATGAGAGCCTTGAGCCCAGGAGATCACAGGTTGCCTTATATTTCTCAATTAGCTATTTGTGGAGTGGGGCATTTGAAAAGGAGTGGACATAGGAAAGATGCCTCATTGTTGAATTAGTCCTCAATTGGAATATCAGGACCTGTTCATTTTGGAAAGTGGACAAAATTGTGACTGAATGGAAATAAAGAAAGGACCATTCCTTTCTGCAGAAACTAGTGAACATCTGAAAGGTGTTGTCAGCGACTATGCCTTTCCATGCACCTTTAAAGGCAAGCTGGTGGGGAATCAGGGGACAGAGAGAGACAGACAGAGACAAAGAAAGTGAGGAGTGGATCAAATGTTGGATTATCAGAGTGTGGGGTTGGCTTGGTGGATCAGTTGAATCCTTTCCTGCCCAAAACATCTTATTCCTACCCGAATACTGGTAGCACATGGAACGCTCAGGTTAGAGAGAATGAGAGTCAATGCCTGCAGAATTAACTGATGCCATCACCTTACCAGAGGAACTCTTCCAACAAGCAATGATTCCGTTTCATTATGCAGTGCTTTCACATTGCTGGCTATCTCAATCGCTGCGTTCCTGGTAAGACTCTGCATTGAGGAAACAGAAAGAATATAAGTCGGCTGATTGGATATATTTAAAGGGGTGCTCGATCATTTCGCACAAGTGTTGACAGGAATTTAACTGGAGAAACCGAACTCACGACTAACAACTCTGACCGGAGATTCTTCTTCAGATCACTAGAAGTCCAGACACAACCCTAAATCAAAGGTCACTGCATAACTAGGAATTCAGTGGATCCCCAAGGTAAATTTACGACAGCCAGACTTGTGAATGCATAGGTTCAAGATTTCTATGCTTGCTCATGGAATTAAATGTGTTACAGACCAAAAAAAGCATCAGTGATATGTTGTGTATGGTGCTCCTCAAAATAACAAGTTTAAAAGGTTAGAAATGAGGGAGGAAAGAAACTGACTAAACACAGAACAGCTGTACTTCTCTTCTGCAGGAACCTCTTCTATCTCAAGACATGATGGTGGAGTAAAAGTGACAGCGGCAACACGATTATGAAATTGACTGAGTGACAGGAAACAGAATTAGTGATTTTTCAAACTTGAAGAAGGTTTGTACTGGACTTCCCAGGTTTTGGTACTGGGACGCTTGCTCTTTCTGATATAGATGGACCTTGGTGTACAGGGGACAAACTCAAAATTTGCGCATGACACAATACTTGGAAGCATTGTACACTGAACAGAATGTTGTAGAACCTCCAAAGATTTAGACAAGTTGGTGGGACGGGCCATCAGGTGTCAAGAACAGAGACAGAAAATCGAAAATGAAGAGTACAATTCTAAATAGATTGCCGAGAAGCACATGTACCTCAGTGTATATGGTAAACATTAAAGGTGGCAGATCAAGTTTAGACAATGCTTAGTAAAATGTATAATATCCTGAATTTATTAATATTAATTTTGGATGGGTATATGAATAGGAAGGGCTTACAGGGATCTGGGCCAAATGCTGGCAAATGGGACTAGATTAATTTAGGATATCTGGTCGGCATGGACAAGATGTACTGAAGGGTCTGTTTCCATGCTGTACAGCTTTATGAATCTATAATCCTAATAAGAGCATGGAAGAGCAGGCAAGTTATGTTAAACTGACATACAACACTAGTTCAGCCTCATCCACAGTACTGTGTCCAGTTCTGGGCACCACAGTTTAGGAAAGATGTGAAGACATTCGAGAAAGGACAAAAAAAGTTCAAGAATGATCGCAGGGATGAGGAACTTCAGCTATACGGACAGATCGAAGGAGTTGGACTGTTTTCCTTGGTGAAGAGAGGTGATATTATGGAGAGGTCCAAACAGAATAGATAGGAAGAAACTAGTAGTGGAAGGATTAAAAATAAGAAAACACAGATTTAAAGGAATTGGCAAACAAGCAATTCCAACATGAGGAAAAGTCTTATTTCACAATGTGAATGGTTATAATCAAGAATGCACAGCTCCAAACTGTGGTAGAGGCAGGATATAATGCCTAAACTTTGTAGATTCCTTTGAATAACCAGAGTAACCCATTTTAGAAAGGTCAGATACTGTTTGGAATGGTTAAAAGTAGGCACAAATCTGCATTAAAAAGTGCATAAAATTATTAACTGCCAACAGACATAACAAAAGCAACCGTCAAAAGATGTATGAAGAGCAACTGTCAAAATTGTCACAAAGGCCTGTTAAGAGGAACTATCAAACTATCAACCTGTCAAAAACATCGAGGATCAATCAGGAGCGTCAAAAGGAACTGCCAAAAGCTGCTGTCAAAGGAACCTGTCAAGCCATGAAGATGTTTAAAAATCATACCCTTTAAGTCTTTGGAAAAAATGTTTCTAGGTTTAAAAACATAACTATTTATTGTTTCACTTTGTCTGGTGACGTAATTCTAAGGGAATACCATTCCGGGCTTGGTGCTGTTTGAATGATTACACAACTATCCACTATCACAGTAAGGTACCTGTCATTTCACAGCTTTACTGACAGCTATATGTGGTTATATACTCTATGAAGTGGATTCATGAATTCCAATGCTTATTGTTATAAGGGATTACATACTTGAATGTTGTTGTTGGTTTATAGTTTGTTTTGCCAGACAACTTTATATATTTGCAGGAATGTAAACATACTAAATGGGTTTTTATGAATGAGCTTACTTTTTATAGTTAGCCTGCAACAGACACTTAACAACTATATTTTATTTCATTTCTTCATGGATCCTGGAGCCTGCACATGATGGATAGTGTGTGATTTGGCAATACCTCCCAATATTCAAAAAGGGAGGTAGAGAGAAAACAGGGAATTATAGACCAGTAAGCCTAACATTAGAAGTGGGGACAATTCTCAAATCCATTATTAAGGACTTTAGAAAGCAGTGGCAGGATCAGATAGCCAGCATGGATTTATAAGGGGAAATCATGCTTGACAAATTTGTTGGAATTCTATGAAGATATAACCAACAGAGTTGACAAGGGGGAGCCAGTCTATTTGGACTTAGAGAAAGCATTTGACAAAGTCACGCATAAGAGATTATTGTGCAAGGCTAAAGTATACGGAATTGGGGGAAGTGTATTGAGATGGATAGAAAACTGGTTTGCAGAGAGGAACAAAGAGTAGGTATTAAGGGGTCCTTTTCAAATTGGCAGATAGTAACTCGTGGGGCGCCACAGGGATCGGTGCTGACACCCCAGCTATTCACAATATATATTAATGATTTGGATGAGGGAACAAAATGTAACATCTCCAAGTTTGCAGATGATACCAAGTTGGGTGGGAGGGTGAACTGTGACGAGGATGAAGAGATCCTTCAGCATGATCTGGACAGGTTGAGAGAGTGGGCAAATCAATGGCTGATGTAGTATAATTTGGATAAATATGAGGTTATTCACTTTGGAAGCAAAAAGGAGGCAGATTACTACCTAAATGGCTGTAAATTGGGAGAGGGGAGCGTGCAGCGGGACCTGGCCGTCCTTGTGCAGTTGCTGAAGGTGAGCGTGCAGATGCAGCAGGTGGTAAAGAAGGCAAATGGATGTTGGCCTTCATTGCGAGAGGTTTCGAGTACAGGAGCAGGGATATGTTGTTGCAGTTGTACAGGGTCTTGGTGAGACCACACCTGGAATATTGTGCGCAGTTTCGGTATCCTTTTCTGAGGAAGGATGCTGTTGCTCTTGAGGGAGTGTAGAGAAGGTTTACCAGGCTGATTCCAGGAATGTCGGGACTGACGTATGAGGAGAGAGTGACTGGGGTTAGGATTGTTTTCGCTGGAGTTCAGATGAATGAGGGGGGATCTCATAGAGACTTATAAAATTCTAACAGGACTAGACAGGGTGGATGTGGGGAGGATGTTCCCAATGGTGGGTGTGTCCAGAACCAGGGGTCACAGTGTGAGGAATCGGGGTAAAACATTTAGGATGGAGGTGAGGAGGCATGTCTTCACCTAAAGAGTGGTGAGCCTGTGGAATTCATTAACACAGGAAGTAGTTGATGCCAAAACATTGAATGTATTCAAGAGGTGACCAGATATAGCACTTAGGGCGAATGAGATCAAAGGTTATGGGGAAAAAGCAGGATTAGGATCAGCCATGATTGTGAAGAATGGCGGAGCAGACTTGAAGGGCCTAATGGCCTCCTCCTGCTCCTATCTTCTATGTTTATATGTTGTGGCAAAGAGTAGCAGGTGGCGTAAATGGGGTTGACACAAAGTTGGTATAGGTCCATAAGGGGTTATTGATAGTGAATACAGGAGCATAGTGGCATGGAGTGGCTTTCAGGGTTGGATACAGGGAATGAAGTGGCGTAGACGGGGCATGGGGAGTGTGCACAATGCTGGTATGGGTAGGAAGAATGTTTACAGTTTGGACACAGTGCTGGAACGCTGAGGCATGACCAACCCTCCTCCATACATGGCATCATCCTCGCAACCTCTGCTGTGCATCCCACACTGCCCCTTTTAACACCACTTACCAGTCAGGATCAAAAAGCCGACATTTGGCCAGTCACTTTTACAAGTTGGCTTACAAAGAACTTAGGAGCTGAAAGGAGGCTATCCAGCCTTTTCAAAAAACACTGGCATTGGAGGCTGTTCAAAAGAAATTCAACTAGGCTATTCCTAGATAGTTAGGTTTGTGGGATCTCATTGAAACATACAGGATTCTGATGAACTTGACAGGGCAGATGTTGAGAAGATGTTTCCAGTAGTTGGCAAATCTTAAACTAGAGGACTTAGATACATTATACTGGGACATCATTTAAAACCGAGATGAGAAGAAATTTCCTCGTCTAGAACAGAGTGAATGTCTGGAATTCTCTAATTAGTGATTTGTGGAGGCTGGATCACTGAAGGTATTTAAAGATGAGGTAGACAGATTTTTTTTAAACTTTTAACTTTTTAAAACTTATTTGGATGGGAATGGAGAAGGTCACTCCCAGACCGGAGGGACATGGGGAGGTGAGTCCCGGACCGGAGGGACATGTGGTGGTGAGTCCCGGACCAATGGAACGGCGTGGATAGGCAAGTCCTGGACCGGAGGGACGTCATGAAGAGGTGAGATCCGGACTGAAGAAATGTCGCGGAGAGGAGAGTCCCGGACTGGAGAGACGTCATGGGTAGGGGAGTCCCAGACCGGAGGAACACGGTGGGAAAGTGAGGCCCGGAACGGAGGAACGCGGTGGGAAAGTGAGTCCCGGACCGGAGGGGTGTCGTGGGGAGGTGAGCCCCGGACCGGAGGAACACGGTGGGGAGGTGAGTTCCGGAATGGAGGAACGCGGTGGGGAGGTGAGTCCCGTACCGGAGGGACATTGCAGGGAGGTGAGTCCCAGACTGGAGGGACGTCACGGGGAGATGAGTCCCGGATTGGAGGAATGTTGCGAGGAGGTGAGTCCCGGACTGGAGAGACATTGCAGGGAGGCAAGTCCCAGACATGAGGCCATTCTGGTGTGGTGAGTCCCTTTGTGGACTGGAGACGAGGCCTCGAGTTTTGAAGCCCGGTGTAGACTGCAGACTTTGGTCCAGCGTGGTCTGGAGGCTAGGTACTGGCATGGACTGGAGTGGAAGGACTGTAAATTGGGTACTTTTCTTTTTCCTTCTTATTCTTATGCTGACAATTTTTTCTATTTTACACCAAATACTTCAGTATCTGTACCTAGGTCCTTGTACCCAAGATGTCACCGTAAGTAGCGACATTGCAAACTTTTCATTGCACTCATTTGAGTACACGTGACAATAAAGCTAACTCATTCAATTCAATCCCCAGATAACTGCTGAGCAATAGTGCTAGTCCGTGCACAGCATAACTATTATAGTTAAATATCAGACCCAACAAAGTATCTAGGATCTATTATCTTCAAGTATAAAAAGTTTGTGTTCATAGCAAAATGTAACCTGTTGGACTAGTGCTTGCCCATTGAAAGATCTGTTCAACTGGTTCCACTCCCCTGATCCTTCCCCACAAGCTCTGCAATTATTTTCCTTTTCTGGAATTTATTTAATTATTAGTTATGAAGACAAACTGAATAGGTTGGGTTTGTTTTCCTTGGAAAAGAGGCCGAGGGGTGATTTGATTGAGGTATACAAAATTATATGAGGTAAACATAAAATAGATTGTGAGAATCTCTCCCGTCATGCAACATATCTAAGTTCAGAAGGCACAATTTTAAGGTGGGGACCAAGTGGTTTAGAGGAGATATGAGAGAATTGTTTTCACCTGGACGGTGGGAGGAATATGAAACATGCTGCACAAAAGGGTGGTGAAGGCAGATGCTCTTGCAACATTTAATAAGCATCTGGATGAGTACGTTAAATGACAAGGCATATAGGCTGTGCACCAAGTGCAGGTAAATGGGATTAGTGTAGTTTGGTGTTTGTTGGTCAGCACAGACGTGGTGGGCCGAAGGTGGTGTTGCAATGCAGTATGGCTCTTTGACTCTATTAGGAATCTTCAAAAGGGATGTAAATAGTTTAAATTAATGGGCAAACATTTGGCAGATTGGGTGTACTGAAGGAAAATACAAGACAAGTCTTGTTACAATTGTACAAAACATTGGTGAGACAGCATCCAAAGTTGTGTATTCAGCTTCAGTCTTCTTACTTGAAGAGGGATGTATTTGTTTAGGGAGTGATTCAGGGAAGATTCACTAGGCTGATTCTTGGAAGGAAAGAGTAGTCTTATGAGGAAAGGTTGAGCAAGTTGGGTCTAAACATATTGGACTTTAGAAGATGAAGAGGTGATCTTATTGAAATATAAGAGAGTCTCAGGAGGCTTGAAAGGCTAGATACTGACAGGATACTTCCCTGCATAGATTCAAAGAGTCATACAGCACGAAAACAGACCCTATGGTCCAACCAGTCCATGTTGACCATAATCCCACATTAAACTAGTCCCACCTGCCTGCACTTGGCCCATATCCATCCAAATATTTCTTATTCATGTACTTATCCAAATGTCTTTTAAACATTATAACTTTTAAACATTCACCACTTCCTCTGGAAGCTCATTCCACACATGAACCGCTCTCTGTGAAAAAAATTGCCTCTCGTCTTTTTTAAATCTTTCTCCTCTCACCTTAAAAATATATCCCCCAGTCTTGAAATCCCCCACCTAGGAAAAAGACACCTGCCATTCTTCTTATTTATACCTTTCATTATTTTATAAACCTCTAAGGTCACTTCTCAACCTCCTATGTCCCAGTGAAAAAAAGTCCCAGCCTATCCAGCCTCTCTTTATAATTTGAACTCTCCATTCTTGGCAACATCCTGGTAAATCACTTCTGAACGCTCTCCAGTTTAATGATATCCTTCTTATAACAAGGTGACCAGGACTAGACACAGCACTCCAGAAGAGGCCTCAACCAACATCCAGTACATCCTCAACATAATGTCCCAACTCCTACATTCAAAGGTCTGAGCAATGAAGGCAAGCATGCTAAACGCTTTCTGAACCACCTTATCTATATGTGGTCATGGAGGAGTCTAGAACTAGGGGTTTACAGTTTCAAAATAAGAAGACTCCCACTTAAGAATGAGGTGAGAACTTTCTTCTCATTGTGTCTTTAGTTTTTGAATATCTCATGCTCAGAGAGCTGTGGAGGTTGGATCATTGAACATATTCAAGACTAGGCAGAAAGACTTTTGATCAACTAGGGAGTTAAAGGTCAGGAAAGGGGATAGTGCACAGACAGGAAAGTGAAGTTAAGGCTTCAATCAACTTGGCCATGACCTTATTCAATGGTAGAGCATGCTCGAGGGGTAAAAAGGCTGACTCCTGCCCCTATTTCTTATGATCTTTCTGGCAGCTATATCCCACTTGATTAGGAGACGGCAGCACAGGAAGTATGAGAGGTTCAACATTCACAGTAGTGACAAGCAGTGACTCCATTTCCTACCCAGGCTATTCTAAGTAAGTCACAAGTAGATTTAATTGAAAGGGTAAATTAGGCCTGTTTTGTTGTAAAAAGTTGCTGCAAGAAACAATGATGAAAGGAGACATGATAAAGGAAAGGGCTTGTGACAATATATGCATTGAAGATGGTCAGCAAAATTGGTAGAGAAGGAAGGGGAGAGAAACACTTTGAGTGAGAGATAAGCAGATAGAAATAAGGAAAGAGAGAATTATTTTCTGTTTTCTCTCTGAGCAGTGCCACTTTAGAAATCACTTACGTAAAATGAGTTAATTAGTCCACGATAGTTAACAGTTTTATCCCTTTATGTGATTCATAGGTTCACATTTAATTTCATTTACTGAAGGGTGGGTCCATTGTTCATCCAGGTTCAGAAAGGGATGAAGCTTGTTCCCAAATTATTAAGCAATCACCTCATGTTGATAAATTCAGCTCTGCAGAACAGCAACTTACTGAGCCCGACATGACATAACTGCTACCTCTGTCACATTCCTTACCTCTGGAAACTTTGGATGGGTTTTGTTTAGTGCATGTGAGCTCGCGTTGACAGCGTGAGCCAGCTCTTGCTCCAGAAGGCTGTGGGTTTTGGCTGCATCGCAGATTCTGAAAGTCATGAAGGAAAGAATGCTTCAACAATACAGGCGGAATAATAGAAATGATGGAAAAGTACAACGTACTCCTACCAGAAGTCAAATCAGTCCGACTTCACTCACAGCTTTTCATTCATAAAAGGTACCTATTACATACGCAAAAAGCACTAAGTTGGAACAGAGATGCTTGCTATTGCTTACTTGCAACGGTTCATTATTTTCCTTTGTTATAATGTGTTAAAAGAATTAATTTTCCATATGGAGAAAGGGCATATGTCTCAAACCCTGCATTATAAGGTGGTTGTCAGCCCTAGACCAGATGCTTCAGCACATAATCTAGGCTGTGGGTCTGGAGACACATTTAGGCCATATCAGGTTAAGATGGCAGATTTACATCCCTAAAGGATTTTCGCAAACTCGATTGAGTTTTTTGAGGAAGTGACGAAGATAATTGATGAGGGTGCAGCAGTGGATGTTGCCTTACATGGACTTTACTAAAGCAGTTGACAAGATCCCTCATGGTAGGCTGGTCCAGAAGATTAAGTTGCATGGGATCCATGATAAATTGGCAAATTTGATACAACACTGGCTTGGTCATAGGAGTAAGTTGTGGACGGGTATTTTTCTGACTGGAGTCTATGACCAGTGGTGTTCCAAAGGATCATTGCTGGGACTCTGTTGTTTGTAATTTATATAAATAACTTAAATGACAATGCAAGTGGTCTGATTAGTAAGTATGCAGATGACATGAAAATTGGGTGGAGTTGTGGATAGTGAGGAAGGTTAACAAGGGATACAGGAGGGCATAGATCAGTTCGAAAGTTGGGTGGAGGAATGGCAGGTGGAGCTTAATCCGGAGAAGAATGAGGTGATGCATTTTGGGAGGTCAAATGCATGAGGAAAGTATACATTAAATGGCAGGACTCTTAGGAGCACTGATATACAGAGGGATGTTGGGGCTCAAGTCCAGCTTCCTGAAAGTGGCAATAAGTGAATAAGGTGGTAAAGAAGGCATAAGGCATGCTTGCCTTCATTGATCGGGGCACTGAGTATAAAAGTTGGCAAGTCATGTTGCAGCTGTACAAGTTTTTAGTAAGGCCATATCTGGAGTGTTGTGTGCAGTTCTGGTCGCCACACTACAGGAAGGACATGGAGACTTTGGAGAGGGCGCAAAAGAGGTTCATGGGGATGTTACCTAGATTAGAGTGTATTAGCTATAAGGAGAGGTTGGACAAACTTGGATTGTTTTTGCTACAGCATCAGAGGCTAAGGGTGACCTGATAGAAATATGTAAGATTTGAGAGGCATGGAAAGGATTGAAAGTCAGAGTCTTTTCCTAGGGTGGAAATGTCATATACTAGGGGCATAGGTTTAAGGTGAGAGGGGAGAAGTTGAAGGGAGACGTGTGAGGCAAGTTTTTTACACAAAGGGTGGTAGGTGCCTGGAACCTGCTGCCAGGGAGGTGGCAGAAGCAGCAACGATAGCAAACTTTAAGAGGCACTTAGACAGACACACGGACAGGCAGGGAATAGAGCGATACGGACCATATGCAGGCAGATGGGATTAGTTTAGAGTGGTATCATAGTTGGCATAGACATAGTGGGCTGAAGGGTCTGTTCTTGTGCTGTATTGCTTTATATCCTAAGGACATTAGAGAGCCAGATGAGTTTTACAACAATTGACGATAGTTGTCATGGGTACAATTATTGAGACCAAATAGTTTATTCTGGATTTATTAAATTAACTGAATTTAAATTCCCTAACTGTTTAGGCAGCATTTCAAAATTCATCTCAAATTATTAATTCAGGTCTCTGAATTACTAGTTAATTAAAATAATCACTATAATACTGTACCTGTGCAATATGAAAATTGGCTACCATGTTGCTGTATTATCACCAGTGGCAGCTACAGAAAGTGTATCATTAGTTGGAAATGCTTTGGACTGATTTTTTTTCTTATGGGATGTGGGCCTCATTAGCAAGGCCAGTATTAATTGTCTATCCCCAACTCATTTTCAGAAGGTGGGCTATTACAAATGGGCATGAAAAATAAAAAGAAGTTATCCCAAAGCACTGTGGGCTGAAAAAGGGCCATTGGTCAGTTTGCCTAATGGCATGTTATAAGTATTTTCCATTCAGGGTGCCACTACCCACCCAGCCAATCCAACTCTTTCCATTTTTCATTTCCACAGCTTCTTTAAAGTTTCATGCACACAAGTTGACTAGGTCTTTGAGGCTTGTGTGAAAAGACAACATGAACCTGCCAAGATGCAAAGTGTGACCCACCTTGTGATTAATTCCTCAGCTGCTTGAGCACAGAGCTGGAGCTGAGTGGCCTCCTCCTCTGTAGCCAGGTCCACAGACTGCTGTGGGTACAGATGTGGCCGAAGAGCAGGCCTGCAGGAGTCATACCGGAGTTTGTCTTCCCAAGACTTCAGAGTACTCTCGAATGCCTGTACAAGAAGGAATACTGCAGCAACAATCATAATGGTCAAGGCTTGGCTGGAGGAGGGTCTCACAGGGCTCCGTCAGTTAATTTGAATCTTTTCTCCCTCATTCTTCAACTTGAATATGTCTGCCCTATCATTTGCTGGGAGTACAAATTAGACTTTCCAGTTCTGAAGAAGGCTCCCTGAGACATTATGATAGCAAGAACTGCAGATGCTGGAGTCAGACATAACTAAGTGTGGAGCTGGAGGGACACAGCAGCCCAGGCAGCATCAGAGGAACAGGAAAGCTGATGTTTTGGATTGGGACCCTTCTTCAGAACCGACGTCAGCTTTCCTGTTCCTCTGATGCTGCCTGGCCTGCTGTGTTCCATCAGATCCACACTTTGTTATCCTCGAGATATTATCTCTGCTTTCTCTCCACAGATGCTGCCAGACCTGCTGTGTTTTTCCAGCAATTTGTTTTTGTTCCACCATTCAACTGCTCCCTTTACAAGCTGGAGGGGAGGAGTGTCTTGTAGAAATAGAAATCCCCTCACTGTAAAATGTCATTCAGTACTAGGCCTAATTTTCTACAAACCAAAACAGAAATTGCTGGAGAAATTCAGCAGAGTTAATGCTTCAAGTCCAGTGACCCTTCTTCAGAACATTTCAACCATATTGGTGTCATTTCCTGCAATTCTGCTTTTACCTCTTCCTCATTCCTCACATAACCATGAAAGGGTTCTTCTTATACTCATCACCCATCCCACCAGCCTCTCTGTTCAGCAAATCATACTCTAACTTTTCTGCAACCTTGTCACCATTGAACACAGCATCCCCTCCCCTTCCAGTCTTCTGGTGGGATTCATCTTTCAATTACTATGAAAACTACTGACTCTTTAACAGCATCTTTCTTTGCAGGCTCAAAAGATGCAACACCTGCCCTTTACCTCCTCCCTTCCCATGTCCAAGGACCAAAGCACACTTCCAGGTCAAACAGATGTCTCAGGAGATAATGGTCTGTGCCCAGGGTGTTTCTCACTTCTGCACTGAATATCATCTCTTGTAGTTGTTGGAGCCAATTTGTGAGTAGATTTTTTCATTCATTGTTGGATGTGGGCGTCGCTGCCTCATTCAGCATTTATTGCCCTTCTCTAACTGCCCTGAGAATCACCCACATTGCTGTGGACCTATAGTCACGTGCTGGCCAGGCTGCATAAGGATGACAGATTTCCTTTCCTAAAGGACATTAGTGAACAAAATGAGTTTATATGTCAATTGACAGTAATTACATGGTTGTCATTCGTCTAGCTCTTTAATCCAGATTTTACTAAATTAAAATTTCTGCATTTGCCCTTGTGGGATTGGAAACATACTCCCAGAACAATAGCTTGGAGTTATGGATTACTAGCCCAGTGATATGACCATTATATAACCATCTCCTCACAAGGAATGACATTCCCTTCCACAGCTGGCCCAGATAGACACCACAGGCCTGAGACTGACTGATGCTCCTTTCTTTCAGCATGTTCACTTTTCCACATCTTGTCATTTATCCTGTACTCTCTGCTTTATCCACACAGCTCCTCATGACTGTCTCAAGGCACTTTGGTCAGCTGTGATGACTTCCCATGAATCAACTCCAAATGGGTCACTGTAAGTTCTCAATGGTAGATGTCCCTGTATCACAAACGTGGGTGATAAGTTGGTCTCATGTAAACAGTGAGATTGTCATAGAACACTTTTTCAGGAATATGGCTCTAATCTATATGGTTCACATGATCAAACCAACAGAGTGACTGCTGATTCAGAAGGGCAGATAAGGTGGAGTGCCTCGCACTGTTCAGTCACCAAGAATGATCCTGAGCCCCTTTAGTTTTCTGTTCAAGTTCCAACCTGACCTCTCTGTCCTTGGTCACCTATAATCTTCAAATGAGGCTCAAGGAACAATGCCTTATTTTGCTTGGACAAGAGGTACTGACAATGGTTCTGCATCTGTTTACACCTCCTTAGATATAACTTCTGCTTCTTCACTTGTTCCATGTCTTTTGCCTTGCACCTCGTCCATTTTCTAATTTAATCTCCCCTACCTTCCACCCGATCAGAGAGCTGCCTTTTTGTTCTTTACTCACCTTTATTGGCTCTGCATTTGTCTAAACCTGTTACATCTGCACCTTTACCAAGGCCTGATGAAGGGTCATCTGTGTGAAATATTAACTTGGCATTTTTCTCCAAAGGCACTGCCACAATTGCAGAATATTTCCAGCATTTTCATCTTATTTTGAGATCCATAATTCACACTGGCCTCAGGAGGGACCAGAATTATTTTTCTTCCGAGCATACGAAATCAGCCCTGATCTACCTTGGTCTGTCATTAGAATGACCTGAATAAGATCTGGAATTTCTATTGTTTAATAGGAAAGTGCAATCAGTATTGCCCTACAGGATTTCATTTTCAATAACCCCTATAGGGACTGGTATTCAATACTTCCCTACAGGAATCCGTAATCAGTACTCCGCTATAGGAACCTGTAGTCAGCACTCTCCTATTGGATCTGTAATCAGTATTACAGTAGAGGCATTGATAGTTGGTACTCCCCTAAGGGATCTATAATCAGAACTCCCCTACAGGGCTTTGGCAATCAGTATCAGCCGACAGCATTCTATAATCAATACTCACTACCCTGATCTGTAATCAGCAAAATCATACAGTGATCCATAGTCAGTATTCTCCTAAGGGATCTGTAATTGGTACCAACCTATAGGGATCTGTTAACAGTACGACTCTACAAGAATCCATAATCTGTACTCACCTACAGGGATCCTTAATCAGTAATGTCATAACGGAATCTGTAAGTAGTCCCCTACAGGGATCTGTAATCAGTACTGCCCTACAGGGATCCATGTTCAGTATTCCCTCACAGCAATCAGTTATCCGGACTCTCCTACAGGGATCTATATTCAGTACTGCACTGTTGGGTTCTGTAACCAGTTCCGTGCTACAGGGATCCCTCATCAGTATGCCCCCACAGGGATATGCAATCAGTACAACCATACAAGAATCCATAATCAGTGTTCCTCTACAAGGATATGTAACCAGTACTGCGCTACTGGGATCCTCTTCAGTGCTCCCCTGCAGGGAATCTGCAATCACTACTCCCCTGCAGGGATCCCTAATCAGTAGCCCGCTAAAGGAATCCGTAATAAGTGTTCCCCTACAGGGATTTGAAAACAGTACTCTACTATGGAAATCTGCCATCAGTACTCCCCAACAGGGAATCGGCAATCTGTACTCCCCTACAGAAATCTGCCATCAGTACTCCCCAACAGCGAATCGGCAATCAGTACTCCCCTACAGAAATCTGCAATCAATACTCCGTTACAGGGATCCCAAATCAATAGCCCACCGAAGGAATCCGTAACCAGCACTCCACTACAGGGATCTGTAATCAGTACTCTCCTGCAGAGATCTACAATCAATAGTCCCTACAGGAATCTGTATTCGGTTCCACCCTACCAGGATCTGTAATCAGTATGACCCTACAGGGATCCTTAATCAGTAACGCCATACATATGCTGTTAAATAATAAACTCAAATGCCCAATTTGTATTGAAAATTATCTATTAAACATGACATGCTGTAATTACACCCTCATGTCACAATTTTATATTCCTCAGCTTTCCAGTCTGTCCTGGAACTAACTCTACTGCACCAGCCAGCTCTGCTGCCTAAATTCCTGGAAGCCACATAGAATAACATTAAACCAGACAGAAGGTATGGCTTGAAAATGGGAACAAAACTACACCTCTGTGACCATTCCACTGTATAATCTTCTCACCTCATGTCACCTGAAATTATATCTTGTTCTTTACTCATTATGTTCAACATCACAAGTGTTCAAATTGAAATCTCTAAAATTCTCTGGCAATTGTACAGAAAATGAAACGGTTTCTTAGGTATTTAGAAACAAACACTTACTCGGTCTCTTGTCAACATCTGTGCTCTGTTTTTGTGCACAATTTTGATAACCCCAGGTGGTTGGATCCAGGCTTCCCCATCGACCTGTATCGGTACGCCCTCATCTCCCAGAATGGTAATCTTCACAGACCGACACTGCAGGATATTAAGTCACTTTAATCAAAGGTTTTGCACACAATCAGACTTTGACAATTCAACAACAAACATTAAGAGTTTTATTCAAAATCTCATATCAGCAAAGCAGCAGCCACTTTAGAACACTGAGGATATTGTCAGGTAAAGAAGAGTAACTGTGGAGTAATCAGGGGAGATATAACACATCAAGACAGAGAGGGAGATGACTGCACTTTGAAGTTTAAGATTGTTCTTTTGGTTGCTCAGATGAAATTTTGCTGAAATGTATGCTGACAAATAAAGAGATTAGTCTTGAACTGTGAAACCATTAGTGCTGTAGAAAAATACCAGGACAGTGTAGAGCTTTGACTTTGCATTTGCATTCGCATTCATCCTGAAATATCTGAAGGTAAGAATTGTAGGGCTATGGTAAAATGCTGAGCACTAGGATGAACCCAATTGTTCTTCAGAAAAGTCAGCACAGACTTCAGTTTTGAAACATGGGTGGTGGAATAGCTTGGTTTGGGAGATTCCTGCAAAGGATATATGGACTTCACTGAGTAAGGCTGGGACCAATGTTTAATGAGAGAATAACAGAAGAACTCTGGAGCCCAAGCTTTAGACCTCAAGTCTGTTCTGCAATTCTGCGGTGGATCTATGACCTAATGCTGTACACCCGATTTGCTCAATACCCTTTTATATGTTTGAGAAACAAAAAAAAAAAATCAGATTTAAAATTGACAATTCATCTAGCTTCTACTACCCTTTTCAAGCAGAAGTATTTCATAATTTCAATCCTGAAAGTTCTGGGTCTGATTTTAGATGCTGTTTCCTAGCCCGAGTCTCAGGTGAGACCGTTTCTCACTATCCATCATATCTGTTCTCCCTTACTATGTGGGATGAGTTAGCTCAGTTGGCTGGACAGCTGGCTTGCAATGCAGAGTGATGCCAACAGCATGGACTCAGTTGCCACACCAGTTGAGGTTAGCATGAAGGACTCTCCTTCTCAATCTCTCCCCTTGCCTGAGGCATGGTGACCTTCAGGTTAAACTGCCACCATTTGTCTCTCTCTAATGAAACAGCAGCCCTCTGATCTGGTAGGATTATGGTGATTTTATCTCCTCTTAACATCTTAAACTTTGATCAAACCACCTCAAACTATCTAAATGCCAGGAACTACCGCCCCATTTTGTGCAATCTCTCTTTGCAATTTAACTCTTGGACTCCAGGTATTATTCTGGGGATCCCGCATTGCACTCCCTCTAGCCTAACATATCATCTCTAAAGCCTGGTGCTCAGAATTGCTGAGAGTCCTTCGCATGTTGGATAATTCTACAGCTGAAACTCGATTTCCATTCATTCATATTGAAATCGTCTAGATATAAAGACCAGCATTCCATTCGCCTTTTCAATTGTTTTCTGTATCTGTGCATAACATTTAACGATCTGCATATCGAGGTCTACAAGTCTCTTTGGACCTCCAGCACACGATTCCATCTCTTTTTTGTCCAAACAGATCACATTTGCCTCACATTTGCCTACAGTGAAATCTATTTGCTAGTTTTTCTCATCCAGTTAGTCCATTAATATCTCATTGTAATTAACTGGATATATTATTTTTGATTTGATTTATTATTGTCACATGTACCTCGGTACTGTGAAAAGTTTTGTTCTGTGTGTAGTACAGCCAGGTCATGCCATACAAAGTGCGTTACAGTAACAGAACAGAGCGAGGAAAACAATGTTACAGCTGCAGAGAAGATGCAGAAAGATGCATCAACAATGAATTGAAAGTTTGAGAGGTCCATTCAGAAGTCTATTAACGGCAGGGAAGAAGCTATTCTTGAATTTGTTGGTACATATGTTCAAGCTTTTGTATCTTCTGCCAGACAGAAGAGGTTGGAAGAGACAATAACCAGGGTGGGAGGGGTCTTTAATTATATTGGCTGCTCTCCCAAAGCACCAAGTAGTATAAATGGACTCAATGGATGGGAGAATGGCTTGCGTGATAGACTAGGCTTTGGTCACATTTCTCTGTAGTTTCTGACAACCTTGGGCAGAGCAATTGCCATACCAGGCTGTGATGCATATGGATAGAATGCTTTGTATGGTGAATCTATAGAAATTGGTAACAGTCCTTACAGACATGCTGAATTTCCGGAGCCTCCCAAGGAAGTGGAGCCATTGTTGTGCTTTCTTGATTATCACATTAACATGGGTGGACCAGGACGGATTGTTGGTGATCATCACTCCTAGAAACCTGACATTATCAACCATCTCCACCCCAATATCATTTATGTAGCCAGAGGTGTGAAGTCAATGACCAGGTCTTTCGTTTTGCTGGCACCGAAGGTGTCCTTTACACCATACCATCAAGCACCGTCTTTCATCTATTCTGTCTCATGATTGTTAGAGATCTGGCCAACAACGATGCTGTCGTCAGTGGACTTGTAGATGGATTTAGAACAAAATTTGGCCACCAGTCATGAGTGTATAGGAAGTATAATAAGGGGCTGAGTACACAGCCTTGTGGGGTGCTGGAGTTGAGGATTATAGACTTTGGATCTTAATGTATGAAGCATTTGGAACAAGGTAGATGAACTGATGGTGCAACTCAAGGTAAATAAATATGATCTCACAGCCATTACGGAAACATTGTTCAGCCTCATGGCCCGGCATACACCCCACTCAACCATTACCATCAAGCTAGGGATCAACCCTCGTACAATAGAGAGTGTAGGAGGGCATGCCAGGAGCAGCATCAGGCATACGTGAAGATGAAGTGTCAACCTGCTGAAGCCCCTAAACAGGACTACTTGTGTGCCAATAGCTTAGTGGCAAGTGATAGACAGAGCTAGGCAATCCCACAACCAATGGATTAGATCAAAGCTCTGTATTCCTGCCACAGCCAGTCATGAATGGTGGTGCACAATTAAACAACCCACTGGAGGAGGCGGCTCCTCAACTATCCCCATCCTCAACGATGGAAGAGCCCAGCACACCAGCATATAAAAGATGAGACTGAAGCTTTCACAGCAAGCTTCAGCCAGACGTGCCATTTGGATGATCAATCTCGGTCTCTTCCAGTGGTCCTCAGCATTACAGATTCGAGTCTTCAATCAATTTGATTCACTCATGTGATATCAAGAAACAGTTGGAGATACTGGACGCTGCAAAGCCTACAGGCCCTGACAACATTCTGGCAGTAATACTGAAAACTAATGCTCTAGAACCTGCCACTCCCATAGCCAAGCTATTCCAGTACAGTTACAACACTGGCACCTACCCGACAATGTGGAAAATTGCCCAAGTATGTCCTCTACATAAAAATCAGGATAAATCTAACCCGGCCAATTACTGCCCCATCACTCTATACTCAATCGTCAATGAAGTCATCAACAGTGCTTTCAAGCAGCATCTACTCAGCAATGCCTTGCTCAGTGACGCCCAGTTTGGGTTCCACTAGGACCCCTCAGCTCCTGAGCTCACTACAGCCTTGGATGAAAAAGCTGAAATGCAGAGGTGTGGTGAGGTGAGAGTGACAGCCCTTGAATCAAGGCTGCTTTTGACTGACTGTGGCATCAAGGGTCCTTAATAAAACTGGAATCAATGGGTACCAGGGGCAAACTCTCCAGTGGTTAGAGTCATACCTGACACATAGGAAGATGGTCATGGTTGTTGGAGGTCATTCACCTCAGCTCCAGGACATTTCTGCAGGAGTTCCTCAGGGTAGTGTCCCAGGTCCAACCATCTGCAGCTGCTTCATCAATGACCTTCCCTCCATCATAAGGTCAGAATTGGCGATGTTTGCTGAGGATTGCACAGTATTCAACACTATTCGCGACTCCTCATATATTGAAGCAGTCCAGGTTGACATGCAACAAAATCTGGACAATTTCCAGCCTTGGGCTGACAAGCGGCACGTAACATTCACACAACACAAATGCCAGGCAATGACCAATAAGAGACAATCTAACGATTGCACCTGTACATTCAATGGTGTTACCATCACTGAATCCCCCACTATAAACATCCTGGGGATTATAATTGACCAGAAACTCAACTGGACTCACCACACTAACACAGTGGCTACAAGAGCAGATCAGAGACTAGGAGTACTGCATCTAGTAACTCATCTCCGGACTTCCCAAAGCCTGTCCACCATCTACAAGGCACATGTCAGGAGTGTGATGGAATATTCCCCATTTGCCTGGATGGGTGCAGCCCCAAGAACACTCAAGAAGCTTGACACCATCCAGGACAAATTAGCACACTTGATAGGCACTACATCCACAAACATCCACTCCTTCCACCGCCGACGCTCAGTAACTGCTGTGCGTACTATCTAGAAGATGCAACGCAGAAATTCACCAAAGATCCTCAGACAACATCTTCCAAAACCATGACCACTTCCATCTAGAAGGACAAGGGCAGCAGATATACTCACCATCCTGACTTAAGAAATATATCACTGTTCCTTCAATGTTGCTGGGTCAAACTTCTGGAATTCTTAATTCCCTCCCTCATGACATTGTGGGTCAACCCACAGCAGGTGGACTGCATCAGTTTAAGAAGGCAGCTCACCACCACCTTCCAAAGGGCACCTAGGGACAGGCAATAAATGCTGGCCCAGACAGCAATGCCCCCATCCCACAAAATGAATAAATAAAAACAAAGGAGATTAAAACTGGGAACTTAACATTCCAGGATACTTGACCTTTTGAAAGGACGTGTGGTGAGGTGGCACCTTTAATAAGAAATGAAATTAGGACAGTTGTGAGAGATGATCTGGGTTTGGATGATGTGGAGTCCATTTGAGTGGAGGTAAACATAAGAACATAAGAACCAAGAGGAGGAGTAGGCAATCTGGCCCATCGAGGCTGCTCCGCCATTCAATAAGATCATGACTGATTTTTCTATGGACTCAGCTCCACTTACCTGCCTGCTCATCATAACCCTTAATTCCTTTACTGTTCAAAAATCTATCTAGCTTGGCCTTGAAAATGTTTAATGATGTAGCCTCAACCGCTTCACTGGGCAGGGAATTCCATAGGTTCACAAAAAGAAGTTCCTCCTCAACACAGTCCTAATCTGCTCCCCCTTATTTTGAGGCAATGCCCCCTAGTTCTAGTTTCAACAAATCAACAAATAATAGAAGCATGTAAAAAGAATAGAGCGACAGCAAAGGATGATCTTAATCTTCATGTTGATTGGGTTAATCCAATTAGAAAGGGTAGCTATGACAATGAATTCATGTTAGGGATAGTTTCCTAGAACAACATACCATGAAGCCAACGAGGGATCAGGCCATCTTGGAACTGGTAATAGTTAATGAGATGGGTTTAATAAATGACCTCCAAGTAAAAGATCCCATAGGAAGTAGTGATCATGACGTTGACAGAGAGAAACTTGGGTTGGAAACAATTGCGTTTAACTTAAAAAAAAAATTACAATGAAATGAGGACAGAGTTAACGAAGGTGAACAGGGCAGATAGATTAGCAGGAAAGACAATAAGCAAGCAGCAGTTGACATTGGAGGAGGTAATTCATGACTCTCAGCAAAAATACATCTCAATAAGGAGGAAAGATTCTAAGAAAGGGATAAACCAACCATGGCTGACCAATGAAGCTATGGAGAATATTAAGTTCAAAGAAAATACATATAAGAAGGCTGAAGTCAGTGACTGCCCTGAAGACTGGGATAAGTTCAGAATCCAGCAAAGCAGGGCTAAAAACATCAGGAAGACTGAGAAAATAAACTATGAGGGCAAACAAGGGAGGAATATACAAACTGACAATAAGAGCATCTTTAAATATATAAAAAGGAAAACAAAGGTCAAAATTGACATCGGCCCCTTGGAAAATGAATCTGGGGAGACAAGTCAAGGTGAACAAGGAAATGGCAGAGGAGTTAAAAATCAGTCTTTATGGTGAAAATATATCAAACATCACATTAATACTAAAGAATATTGGGAGGAATTAAGTACCATTACCATCACAAAAGAAGTATTCGACAAACTAATGGGGCTAAAGGCAGAATAGTCTCCTGGCCCTAAAGGCTTGCATCCTAAGATCCTAAAAGGAGGTAGCTACAGAGATAGTGGATGCAGTGCCTGTAATTTTTGCAAAAATCCTTCGATTCTGGAGAAGTACCAGACGATTGGAAAACTGCTAACGTAACACTGTTATTCAACAAGGGAGGAAGGCAAACAGTGGGTAAGTATGGGCTGATTAGTCTGATATCTATTGTTGGAAAAATACTGGAATCAATTCCTAAGGAAGTAACAGAAATACATTTGGATAATCATAATCTAGAGTCAATGTGGCATAATGAAAGGGAAATTGTGTCTAATTAATTTACTAAAGATTTTCAAGGCAGTCTCAACAAGAGTGGATAGAGGGAAACCAGTAGATGTGTTGCATTGGATTTTGACAAGGTGCCTACAAGAGATTAAGTTATATGGTAACAGCCCACAATGTTGGAGGCAGTATATTGGCATGGGTCATGAATAGGAAACAACGAGTGGGGCTAAAGCGTTCTTTTTCAGTTTGGTGGCCCTGTGAGATTTCACAGGGATCAATGCTGGGACCGCAACTGTTTACAATATATGTTAATATCTTAGAGAAAAGAAGTGAATGTACTGTAGCCAAATTTGCAGACAATATAAAAATAGGTGGAAATGCAGGCTGTGTGAGGGATACAAACAGTTTACAGAGAGATATTGATAGATTAAGTCAATGGGAGGAAAGTTGGCAAATGGAGCAGAATGTGGGAAAATATGAAGTTGTTCATTATGGAAGGGAAAACAAAAGAACAGAACATTATTTAAATGGAGAGAAACCGCAGAAAGCTGCAACACAAAAGGACTGTGCATGGAACACAGAAGCTCGCACAGAGGCGCAGCAGGCAGTCAAGAAGGCTAATGGAATGTTGACCCTCATTTTCCAGGCGGTTGCAATATAAGAGCAGGGAAGGCTTATTGCAACTGTACAAGGTACTGGAGAGACCATATCTGGAACAGAGGGCAGTTTTGGTCCCCTTACTTAAGGAAAGGTATCATTCCATTAGAGGCAGTTCAGAGAAGGTTCACTGGATGATTCCTGGCATCATGGTCCTGACGAAGGGTTACAGCCCGAAACACTGACTTTCCTGCTCCTTGGATGCTTTCTGACCTGCTGTGCTTCTCCAGCTCCATATTTATTGACTGTAGCTTCCAGTATCAGCAGTCCTTACTGTCTCCCTGGTATGGAGGGATGGTCTTATGAGCAATGGCCAAACAGGTTGAGACTCTGCTCACTTGAGTTTAGAAGAATGAGACGTGATCTCACTGAAACATGTAGGATTCTAAAGGGGCTTGACAGGATAAAGGCTGAGACCATGTTTCCCCATCATGGGAAAATCTAGGACCATAGGGCATCATATCAGAATTAAGGAACACCAATTTAGGACTGAGATGAAGAGGAATTTATTTTCTCAGAGGGTCGAGAGTCTTGGAAAATCCTTGCAACAGTGAGCTGTGGGAGCTAACTCCTTGTTATATTTAAGGCTGAGATCGATTCCTGATCAGTAGGGGAATCAAAAGTTACAGGGAAAGGGCAGGAAAGTGGATATGAGAAACGTCAGATCAGCCATGGTTCTATTCAATAGTGGAGCAAGCTTGAGGGGCCAAATGGCCTGCTTCTGTTCCTACCTCTTCTTGTCTTATGGTCTGCTACTTCAAGACACTTTAGAACTGATCTTAATCTCTCCTGTCAGCTGTCCTACTATCACCTTTGGTAATTCGATTTTAAGACAATAACGTTCTTGTGAAGCACATTGGGACCTTCCACAGATGCTATACAGCTGTAAGTTGTTGTATGAACTTCAGCTCTTGCGTTACTTCAACTAAGCAGAATTTGTGGTGTTAGCCATGTACTTAACCTGATGCCAGTTAATGCTTCCTCAACAAACATTATCCAGTGCTTCAAACAGTCATAGAAGATCCTGCTTTACACTTTCTCACAGGCTGTTCCTTGATGTCCAGAGGTGTCGCAGACACTGGTCAGAAATTTCACTGCTGGCATGATGGAGAAGTCTTCTCTGTCACAGTAATGACCAATGATCAACGATCAATGGTAATTTCAGCTGAATTCGGTGTTAAAACAAGAACAAAGTGAAGTACAATCCAAATTCAGACACTAATGTCGCTGGTTATGCTGGACAATAAAATCTCAACTTGCACAAACGATTTAATAGAAGTATCATGGAAGAAAGCAGATTGCTTCAGGAGGTAAGAAGAGCTGAGATGCAAGATGATGAAAAAAAAACCGAAGATTTAAAAAGATCATAGTTCCATAAAGCTATTCTATAAAAATTCAAAACCCAATAGAACAGCAGATAAAACTTTTCATCTGATGATTAAACAGTTGCTTCAAATATTAAAGCATCTTATGGGCAACATACCGACCTGGGCTATTCGGTGATGCTGGAGTTTAATAACTCTTGACACTGCCATCTGCATACTTCCAAACACAGCCACTACTTCCAAGATCTTGTCGTCAAATGAGGGTGCACCAAAAATCTAAAAGAACAGAAACGTCATAACTCTGGGAAAGACCAAACAGCTGCATGGCAAAGCATTTCAGCACTTGCAAAGTGAATCCCTTTCTGGTCTGGCAGAGAAGGCATTACCTTTGAAAGAAGTTGTATGTGGTAACTTTATAATTGGCCCTCCTATCACAACAGCACTTATTAGCAATGTTACCTTACCAGTTTGCAGCAGACACAAGCTTTCATCTATTTGAATTAAGCACTGAAAGAGAGGGCAAAATCATAAAACTCACCCTTACATGGTCACAGATATAAAAGGATAGACATTAGTGGTGGTAATGCTAGTGGGTGGACACACACTATTCTGTGGTTTCCCATTTACTCAAAGTGATCAGCTGCTTCATTATACCAACAGAAATCTTTAGCCTTCTCTACCAACCAGCTAAGTTTTCAAACTGGGAACAATAAATTTAAAAAGCAAACTCAACAACAGTTTTGAAAGTCATCGGTAATAATTTCAATACCCCTATTAATATGGAGTTGCGGAACACCAAAGACTGATTTTAGAGCACTAGATCACCCTGGATGATCTGGACCCTGATGTGAAGTTTCTAATTTATGCAATGGCTTTGAAGTTAATGACAATTTTAAGGACATAATCACTGTAAGCCGGGGGCGGGGGGGGTAACATTGCTAATAAGTGCTCAGCTGCTTCA